AAAAAAATGAGTATAATATTTTGGTAAATATCCTATTCAATAATATGATCTTTGCGGGTCTTAATGTGATTGAAAAATTGTATTAATCTCATTTATGAAAACATATAAACGTTTGATTAATATTAATGGGAATAAATACAAATTGTAGACAGTATTTAAATAAACTGAAATTTAGATGAATTAAATATGTTTCAAATCGATGAAAATATGTAAGATTTAAAAAAAACTACTTATCTAGCTAGTACTTAAATGGATTTTTAACGAACAGACATTATATCATATTGCAAATAAAGATGGAGGCACGAGGTGATCAGGTTAATGAAAAACCTTCTAATTATTTAAAAATTTAATTTAATAAATTTAATAACATTTTGTTGTTTGCTTGATTTTTTTCTAAACGAATAAAACTTGAAATATCCATATGAATCATAACATATATTATGGTTTTGATTTTATCAACAACAACTGATTTTAATAAAATGTAATTTTTGAAAGTCGTCTTAAACACACTAAAAAATATGATAATAATAGAATGTCATTATTGTATACGTCAGAAATGAGTAATTACAGCAATGCCTAAATAATTTAATCATTTTATATTAACCATACCTACTAATACTGTTATTATTGCGATCTATATTACAAGAAACCAACAATTGCCAACTAATTTACTAATTATATTAAACGCTTTTCAAATTACTTCTGTGTAATATAGTGCGGAAGTTTGACTGGAACTTAGTAACGCCATATTAATACTTCCGGCGTCTTGGATTTGTATCTCTACAATATGTTTGAATATTATGATGATACATTTAAATATCTCTGCCACATACATATTATAGTGAAATATTGCATTACCTTCAATGAACAATTCAAATAAATAGCATCAAATTTCCACAAAATATGTGTTGATCCCATTCGGTTTTAATTGTCCAAGACATACATATTTCTTATCGATGTTAATACGTAAACGGTAGGGCATTGAGCTGTGTACATTAGTTCGGATAACATAAGTACAGGTACTTACATCATTCAATATTCTATTAAACATATTTTGTATTGTAATTTAGTGGGTACCTAACTGAAATAATAATAATACAAATAATATTTATTTGACACCAGATTAAAAATGCCGAGTAACACGGATGGCCCAAGAAGATACATTATTAAGATATATATTTGATTTTACTTTCAAAAACGGAGTTGGTGCTGAAAAAAAAAGAATTGTAATAATATTATAAATTGTATTGTATTCCTTTTAATTTTGTGTTATATTTATTACGTATCCGGGCCCAAGCCCAAAGGTCGTACAGAATAATTATTGGTCAACATATATTTATACGACAGGGTTAGGTGAGGTTAAAAGGGTATTCGCTTGTAATAAGACGCGTAGTGCTGTAAATTGGGTGGCTACGACGAGCGTAGTTCATGGAGTGTTATAATAAAATCAAATATTAAGCAATAAATGTCATGTTTTGATAAAATAATATTATTACCACAAAACAAATGCTAATTATTATTTCAATTTAAATGTAAACAGAACCCATATAAGGTATACCAAACGCTGAAAAAATTAATGAATATATTTTTTTTCATTTTTTCCAAAGTTTTCATAGTTTTCCAAGTTTCTATCAACGGTCATCATAATATAAACTCGAAACAAAATAATGAGGTGCTCAATACAATGAAAGGTTGTTTAGAAGTGGGAGGAAAAACCAGCCCGGTATTCCGCAGTATCTACTAAAAATGTGGGGTATTCGTCAAATCTTAAGATACCATCACATACTAATATTTCATTTTAATCAGATTTAGTTTATGTGCTTAAGTGATTTGCTGTGTTTATAATAATTTATATTACAAGTAGAAAACGTAAAACGTGTCTTTCTTAGAAGATATTTTAATTATAATAATACGATTAATTTCAATAAATCTAAAATAAGATTGCAGAGCAGTAAATACCTACTAATACTATAGCCACGTTTGATTAAACTCGAATGAATAAAAAAATAAATTAATAAATAGTATGTTAAATAATTAAAAAATACACTTTTATAAAATTTTCACGGCACTATTTTCAGTAAACAACTTTTTCTTCAACAAAGAATTTATTTTTATAGGTCATTATTAAATTCCTTACACCAAATTAGATAAACATAATTGTACTTTTAAAGAATGAAGGTTGACACTCAGAAAATTCTGAGAAAAAATATTTCCAGAAAGGCCGGGAATAGGAATTCCCGATAATTGTATAGTGGGCCCCAAGACATTTTACCAAAAAAATTGAATATTTAAATGAAAAACACTATTATTTAGACTTACGGTTTTATGACTCAGGCTTAAACTATAATTTGTTCCTGTAATTTCTGCATGATTTTCGTGAATTCCCACACATTCTCGGGAATCGCCTACCCCTACTTGTTGTACACAAATATAATAATGTTAATTAATTTATATTTTATAATATTAAATAGAATTATTAGGTATATGAAAAAACTTCAAAAGTTCGCGGAACACCAATTGTTAGTCGCTGGTCGATATTTCAATAAGTTTTAAATTTGTTGGGAATATTTTTTACATAATTCGAAGTTATTACAAAAAAAACTATTTTGAAAGTTTTTTGAAACGAATGTCAACATTGATTTTCTATACAAAATACAATTGATATAATACTTGAAGTACAAAAGTTAGATAAACAAAAATCGAATTTCGAACGATTTGCAGTATAACTTATGAAGTCGAGTGAAGTAGAGCGGCACATGGTTACCTCGAACAATTTTGGTCCACTACTTCGTTTATCTAAATTCACGGAAATCGAGTAACTGGGAGTTCTCAAGTGCAGCTATGGCCACGATAGCTTGCCGAGCAGTTAAAAACATATATCCAAAGTTCAGCAATAGACATCAATACAAGTCTGCAATACCTCCGGCTCTGCGTCGAGTTTTAAGAAGAAATCAAGCAAATATTAGTAGAGTGTGATGCGTGTGATGATAAACCTATAATTATTTAACAGCAGATTTTTGTGCACCATATTTATGTTGGATGCATGAATATGATGAGCTTCGGCATAACGTTATGTTTGGGATTAACATTTTTTTACAAATTATTTACAGCAGGGGATAAGACGTAACAGTGTGAGCAATCGTTGTTTTTTACCCACTAAAAGAATATTCACTTGCGATAACCGACAAATATGGTTATGACTTTGATAGGTTGTTGAAATCATTATATTTATAATTGTCACTGTGTTACACTTATATTCTCTGCTTATACGCATGCGTGACATTAAATAATTATCGTAAAAGCCGGTTGAAAACTCTTTTGCCAAACTAAGGACACGTGGCGATCGAGAGGACTGCAACAACTGTACTCATATCACACCGGGATGGTCATACATTTTTTTTACTCAGAGTATACGGCGGGGTTTTCCAGTTTCACCGCACCATCCGCGGTGGGTGCACCCCACCAGTCACCCACCCCGTGTGCCACGTGCCGCATCTACTGGGATCGCCTTGATTTCAAGTCACGCGGAGGGAAACTATACAACTCAGTCGTGAAGGTTTGTGGGGCGATTCCTCTGAGCGAATGTATGTTCGGGTTCGCGCGGCGGAGGAAAGTCGGGCACGAAATTAATTTCAAGTTTCAAAAACAAATAATGGCGTAGCTTTATGTTCTTATTATTGTTATTACTATGATTTTGATTTTTTTTTTTTAATGCAAATAAAAATATAAAGAACGTTCAAACAAACCTTGTGGCGTCCATTCGATCGGGACGAGTTTATTTTTTCTTATTTTCCAAACAAATGACGGTAAATCCTTTAATCGCTCACTCCGAGCTATGTTTCTTATTCCGCCGAGGTCTGCAGCACGGAAAAACAACAAGTTTTTAACATTTCCAGAACAAATGTCTGACGCGTCTGTGTGTGTGTGAATGCGTACGTACGAAATTCCACTATATAAATCTTGGATTATGTTTTTAAATTGCATTACTGGTAACCACCACCCTCGCACTGCCAGGCTAATTTTTATTTCTTAAACCTCTCGGAATTAAAAATACATAGAGAGTAGGGAATGAGTAAAAAAGGCAAAAAAAAAGGACTAGTAAAAAAAGAATTTAATTAAATCGGTGGCTCTCAATTCTTAGCTGCAGCCCTTTTGGATTTGTAAACGACCCTCTTTTGTTTGTTGCAAATTTTTATTTTTTAACAGAATCAATTTAAACGGGTGATAGGATACTATGGAGGAGTATATTAATAAGTAAAGGCTTTTGTTGAATAATTAAACCAAATATTGTTAAAATACATTCGATGTATTAGGAAATACATATTATAATATAATATGACTTTAAAATTAATTAATAATAGTAAGATTATTTTATTATTCTAAACTAGTAGAACAAAAAAAAAAAAATGATTATAATAATAAAATAAAATACAAATAAATAAATAAATAAAATACAAAAAAAATCAATAATAATAATAACGCTTAATTGTTACCAACAAAACCCTAAATAACTATTCAAAACACTTTATAGTATAATGTGATAATAATAATATTATTATATTGTATGATACAGTTTAATAGTATTGTACATGATCGCTTTTAAAATAGTATAAATTAATAAAACAAACTAACAAACAAAATATACCGTACATAGAACATAAATCTTTGGTTTCAATGATGTAGATAACTTAACACTGCCTATTGAAATTTCGGGCGATTATTTATCCCAAAGCCTTAAACGTTTAGCGCCGATACTAGTATATAGTGTCAAGCGTATACTGCGAAGGCGATTCGTAAGAATAGTTAAAAATTATAATATAATACAAACAACAAAAAAAAAAATAAATAAATAAATAATATTATCATAAAAAAATTTAACGTCAACAAATTAAAAAAAAACCAACAAAAACCATAAGCGAGAGATCATATTAATATATTGGTCCGATCTACAGATAATATAATATATTTTTTCTATCGTTTCTGATGAATCGGTGTTAAAAAACAAATAAAAAATAAATAAAAGAAAAATCACCATCTTCTGGATAATAATAATGTAGGTATTTAATCATTGCAATATTAGTAATGTGTCAAGAGAACCTCGATGTCTACGACATTACGTCATAACGTTACATATTACGTTACATTATTATATTATTAAAATTATAGCTGTACACGTCGTAGGCCTAGTATATTAATCAATATCAACAAAACTGACTGGGCTTCGTTTCAAAGCTACAATCGTTTATTTATAATATTATAGTCGTCCGACCTAGTGATGACGCCATACCAGACTTGTCCGGAAGGTAAAGATGAATGCTGTCCACGAACAATCAAATGCAACAAGTCTATGGTAGTTCCGATTATATTTTGTCTTCGACGCATATTATTATTATCGTTATTCAAACTGTAGAACGCGATCTCAGAAACGAAATATTTGGTACATACAATTTGCGGGTCCACTCAGGAACATTTTTTAGTATAACTATTTAACCGGCTACCTATATAATATTATACATTGCGCGACCGATGAAATTCATCACAGCAGAGTTTATGTAATGGCTAACGATTGTTTTTTTTCCCTTTTTTGGCATTTTATTTTCTTTATTACGATGAAAAGCTTTTACATTAAAATACAAATATGAATATTGTTTAACAGCTATCATATGTCGATAAGACTACGTGACATAATATTATAATACACCTATCGATATCTAATTATTAATAATTATAAACGCGATTATGTTTCGACTTGAGTTCATCGTGCACTCGTTGGAGGATGCAAAGCGGTCGAAAACTTTACCAACCTTTCCGTCATCTCCAAGTGACCTCAAATAATTACACTCGCGAGGGGACGACGGGACGTCTTTGGTCCTAAAAAAAGGCCATCGACCGTTCTGTTGAAATCGTGCGAATTCTGCACCGGAATGCACCGATTTCTCGACGATCCAACTCGGGTCGAACGCGTTCATCGATGAATTTTATCATATTATATAATAATATAACAGTCCGTTCGTTTTGATTCGACGTGACATCTCGGTGGCGGTGCACGGTGCGACCAGACCACAGCTGTATCGCAATTATTATTATTATACGCGTCACCGAACGAGGAGGAATATTCTTAAATATTAATATGTGAGCGGTCTTTTATTGCGATTATATTATTATTATTTTAATTATTAAATATTATTACCTATTTTATTAATGTGACAAGTGCGCGATATATTTACAGCGGGAATGCGTCGATGAACGGTCACGTTTTCAGCCCTGCGATAAGAAAAAGCGCAGAGCGGACGGAGATACCCAAGTATACACCCACATAATAATGTACAACAATATTGTGTAGACTTGTGCTCTGGAACGAATCCTTCTCCTCGAAACACGCGGATCGGCTCTGGAAACATTGACGCACCTATTAAATTATACTAGATCCTCGGGACTAATTATTATTCGTACCTACGAGTACGAAATATTATAAGGAAGAACAAATTCTATTTTTTGACATTTATACCGAGCGCATATTATAGTACGTATGTGGGTATGATTCGCGAGGGGGGGGGATAACGTTTTTGACTAGCACGACTATATAATAAGGGAAACCCGAATGAAAAATAAATAATGAAAACCTTCCGACATCGGATAGAGAATCGGCGAGGAAGAGCACCACTTAAAAATATTCACACGTTTTATTCAGATTTTTTTTTTATTTTTATTTTTTTTTTAAGCGCGAAAAATATTAATTTAGTTAAAAATTTTTTTTCATCATCTTTACACGTGGTTTAATACTCGAATAATACATAACAATGTCAAAGTAGTAGTATTGTGCACACGAGTATCCGTGTGGTGTACCTATTACATACCTATAATATTTTTATCGTATAAATATTGTATATAATTTGTTTAATAGTTATAATATAATGTTATTATTCATCCTTGAAAACACATATTTTCTAACAACGATCCACGGAACAGTATTTTATGCAGCACTAATCGTGATTGAGGTACGTGGGCATGGAGAATTGATCCTTGGGCGACATGGCGTCGTATAGGGACATCTTCAGTCGCTTGCACTTGGCCCGGCGATTTTTGAACCAGAACTGAACGTTCTTCGACTCGAGCCGCGGGAACTTTTGCCGGTACGGCATCCGGTTCAGCTCGTCCGTGTACTTGGCGATCAGGCTGTGCGACGGATGCGTGTTGTGCTCGAACCACTGTTCTAGCCGCGGCACCTCGCTCACCGGGTCGATAAACGTCCGGTTCCGTTTCCGGCGTTCCTCCGCCAGCGCCGACAGATTCAGGCCCGCCGCGGTGGCTGCAGATGACACCTGTCAACACACGCAAACAATAGGAATTCATTCGACGTTGGGTCTTGTAGGTGGAGGTGTGTGGGTGTGGACTGTGGAGGTATGAAATAATATGTAAATAACGTTAGCACACCCGCAATAGTGTCGGACGGTGGTCGTTTGTGAGAGTGAAATTATGTTTGCCTACGTGAGCGACGACTATGGGCAGATGTATTTTGATGCACATATAATATGCATTGAGTTTTGATAGTACACAATGCGAAATATTGTTATACCAACATATTTTTAAAATCAAAGTTTACTTGTGTATATTGTACATGATTTTATTTTATCATTTTAATGAAAAACGTTTTATAACTGTTCGCCGAAATGGTCTTAGTCTCTCATGCCAATCTATTCACATCTGATCCAACGAATCCACTACTAGTTAATAATAATATTTGATGTTTCATGTGTAGTGTTTAGTATAATATAAGTCTTACGAGTCTTGTGAAATCAAAACAAAAAATAGTTATTAAGTGTATTTCTATCATTAAATGTTTTATTTTTATTTGAACACAAATCTGAGGCGACTATGGTCACTGAACTAATACTATTGTACATTATTTTATGTTATTATACATTACTATGGATGCATTATTCATTATACTTTTATTTTTAACCAATTGTAATTATTATTGCTCTCCACGCTAAAGAAAAATATTTATAATTCCTCTCCTCCACAAACAAATGTATTGGTAAATAAAAGATAAAAAATTCTTGGTTACAACAACATTATATTTTTTAAATGTCACACAAAAATACTATACATTTATTTGTTTTTTTGTTATTTTTCAAAAATTCCATTTTTTTGAGAACCTTAGCTGAGTATGCACTAGTCTCAGGGAAAATTCATACATCAAAATAACTCGTTAATTTAATTTGATATCGGTTAATTGTTATTCCGAAATATGTTATTTGTACATTTTATTTCAATAACATGATATTTTTGACAGTGAAAGTAATAAGTATTTTTTAGCTTAAATGTTGATAATATTATCATTGGTTATTGCTTATAGTTGAAAAATATTTGGCTTAATAGTGTTAAGCATTGTGATTTTGGGATTTGAATTAGAACTGCTCTGGTATCTTTTTCGACTTTTAGTGTTTAATATATTTTTTAATGTGGTATTCAGGTAGTTTATTTTTATATATTATTTTTCAAACTAAGTGCATCTTAAAAAATTTAGTGGTTAATCTAAATTTGGTCGAAGAGTTACTGTTTTTAATTAAGACATAATTCAAAAAATTCAAATAATTGGTTGAAGGCTGCTACAGTTTTTTTACTGGAAAGCATGCATCAAACCTCGAGAAACATTAAAAAAAATCTAAAATAATCCTTGATATTATATTTTTAATTATTTGCACGTAGGAAAAAGTTATGTTAAAAACAAATAAAAAGGCATTTCAACAAATATATGAATAATATGATACATTTAAAAAAAAAACCTGAAAGTAAACGAGTGGTTAACCAAAACTTTTGTAGATCATAACCAGTTGTAAAAAACGAAATTATGATTTTAGTTATAAAGGCTGGCGAGCAAAAACCGGCCTTAATAAACAAAAGCTTATATAAAAACTAAATTTTAAAACCAGAAACCAAAACCTCAATATTTGTTTTGAATTCCGTTCCTAACTCTATATAAAATGAATGGCTTACATAAATCTTCAACTCCACAAAATAAAGTGTTAAATGTACGTATGACAATATTAATTTTATGAATTTATCAGCTCGACTAAAAAAAAAAAAGGTTTAACCATATTCGTTCATGGTCAGTGTGAAACTCCACACTTCAATTGTATTTATTTAATTTTGTAGGTATTTAAAGTTAAGTACTAGACGATATTTGAATACTGTGATGTTAACAAATTACCGGTATGCGAATAAATTAAGATCACCAGTAAACAAACAATTGAAAATTAAATATAAACTGTGTAAAGTTAAGTAAGACTGGTTCAGTCTACTCAAGCTCGAACCTATAATTAAAACATATATTCACACATATTATTACCTATATTTGTCTCCTATAAACAGGCTTAGTTTAAATGCGAGAGAACGATATTGACGAGATCATTTTTTTTCAAAAATGTCAAAAATGGGAACATTTTAGTATTCTAGTCCTAAATAACAAGTACAAATAGTACAAATAGGTAATTACATAATAATCCACAAAAAAAAACCTGATATCGTTTTAAACATATTTTCAAGTACTGCGTAAGCAGTAGCTACGTGTACATAAATGTATTTAATTTGTATTTATCAACGAGAGTAGAGTAAACCGTGTTATCAGTTTTTGTGGTAATCGTTAAAAATCCTGAGGTGTTTTTTTTTCTGACAATAATCCGTATGAATATTTTTAATTTTTATTTGTTCTCGAATAATATTTTTTTAACCGTGGTGAACTAAAATATACCGTGATTAGGTATTACTGTTATTATTATTTTACCTATTGTCAAGTATTACATGGAGTGCTTTGATTGCTTTATTTGATAATTTATCGGCTATAAAGTACTTAATATTCTGAGTGAAATTAGTATTATTTAATTCGGATTCTCAGAAGATGGTTTAGCGATTAAAACACTTTTGACTATCTAAAGATTATCCGTAAATATAATTACTTCTTGGTTCACTATTTGCAATTTACATAATTTAATTATGTGTTTGCTGATTAAACGCTTATAAACGTATTGCTTGTACATATAAAATAATGCATGTGGCATACTGGCATGTGTTTTCACAATATGTATTACTTTTCGTTCGAACCACGGTTATCTGTCAGATAAACGTGGTTCTGAGTGTTCTGACTAAATAGTTACATCGAAATACTCGCATTAGTCATTACCTTATTCCAAACAAGTAATATACATGTATAAATCAGTGTCCAACTTAAAAATATAAAAATTAACTATTCGAATTTCCGTTACTCTCCGTTAGTGGGAGGGGAAGAAAGACTAGACTTCTAGCTTCCAGGTTATCGTGACATTCGTAATGTCAAAAATTAAGCTATAAGACCATCATTGTTTTAGTAATTTAAAATTGTGCAAAAAGAAATTTTAAAATATTAAAAGTTAAGCGGGTTCCCTGTCAAATAAATATAAAATACCAAAACAAATATAAAATATAATTAAAAAACTATACTTTAATGGTAAAATATTTACCATTATATCTATATTTTTTTAGTGTTGGTGGTTTCCAGTAATTCATAATTACAAATAACTATAACTTTAAATCCTCTTTGATATCCCACAGAAAACTATTAAAGTAATCAATCAAATTAAATAAACGAATATTACCTTAAAGTTAATGTAAGAATAGTACATAATCTATTATATAATAAAATAAAATAAGATAGAACACGATTCAATACAATATATTTGTGTTGATTTACATTTTGCAATTGTAGTTATCAAGGTAACCCCTGATGTTCGAAAAACAAAGTAAAATCGTACTTCATCGCATCGAAATTGTAATAGCCACAGTAACCCTCAAGTACCAAAAAAATCTACTCAGTATCTGGTTTGATTTTGGTATATATAATTGTATTTCAAAGCCAATATGTTATATACCTTTATTTTACATGGGTTAGTATTTAATATGTACATCCATTGTTGTCATTAAGCTATGCCTACAATATGATAGTGGTAGTAGCAATCGAACTCAACGACCCCCGAACAAACTATATATATATATTAATGACAAAAGTTGTATTGGTATGTATTTTTAATTTTTATATAACATAATTTTTTGTACAACTCATATTTTTTAAACTTTTCTGTAATGCATATTATAATAAAGTTAAGTAAATATTTAACTCGTCGGCTTGGCCGAAAAGGGTCTCGCCCCCCATGATCTATCCAAAATGAATTGCTAACTGCCTACACATGATTATGCTACTGCGATCGTGGCCATGATGTTTCAATGATTATATATAGTAAGCACATGCCATATCATCACAGATTATACAAAACCAGATGGTACGCTTCCCATTCAAGCCATGTAATTCTCGAAAATGTAAACAAATCAAAACCTACCTCAAATCAGAAGTACCTATCACCAGCACCAATTGAGAAAAAATATTCCCAATTAGAAATCATTGAGTACTAACTACACATCACCGATGACAATTAGCTCTCGTATTATTATTGGTATTGTAAGTACACGAGGAATATTACCTGTGGCTGTTGCGATTGTGGCGGGGGCGGGGTGCCGGTCTGTGGCCGGCGGCCCATATTGAAGCCTGGCAAACATTGGCTCATGTACATGAAGCTGTGGCCGAACATGGAGTTTGGCACCATCGAGAACCCGGGCCGGACCAAGGGCTGGTGCATATCGGCGGCGCGGTGGAACAGTGGCGGGGGTGGGGGTGGCGGCGTCGCCTGGCGGTGGTGTCCCGTGGCGACTGGGTGGTCATCGACTGGACTTGTGGTGCAAGACATCGCTGACTGTTGTTGTTGTTGTTGTTGCGATGATAACCGTTTGCAGCTGTTGCCAATCACGTCGCGGTCGTCACCGCCGCCACCGTCAGACCCGTCGTCGTCCATCATGTCCTCGTCGAAATCGTCCTCGTCCTCGTAATCGTTATTGTTCAGTCCAGTGGTCACTGTAGTCTTATCCTTATCCGGTGGCTCTTCCTTGATCACCATCACCTTTTTTATAAAAATCAAAACAGATTTTTGGTTTCAGATTCAGCTCAGACCGGTGAGTTGTACCAGTGAGGGTCTTTAGAGTATACTGCCCAAACAGGGTGAAGTATTGTTATTATTACACTAAAAAGACAGTGATTTTTCTTTTCAAAAACACATTTTGACCCACTCTAGGAGCATATCACAAAAAGACACGTATTGTGCATCAGTAGGATTTATAAAAGTTGCGAGGGTATTAATAATACGTCGTATTTAACAGACAAAAGTTGTTTTAATAGATGAAGAATTATCTCTATCATAACTATAAGGTTAAAAAAGTATGATCAGTAACTTGGTTCAACTCTCTTTGGCCCACTACCAAATAACAAATACTCCACATATTTTGATAAGAGAAAATTTTCAAAAAAAATTTCAACTATTGTTGTTTAAGAAAATAACGAAAAAGTGAAAGAATTTGCACAAAATCTTTACTAGGGAAAATGTATCGATCGAAAACTAGACCAGTATTTTTAGTGCCTATCAATATAATATTGTGTTATTGGATAGTGGGGTCAATTCCAAGATTACAAGATTAAAGTATATTGTGTACAAAATATGTTACGTTTAAAGACGATAATTAGAGAAATTATGACGGTGGCCGGTGATTTTCATCAATGACAGGTTGTGCTGGTAATTTATGTTCAATAATAGATCTATCAAAGCATATCTGTGCAATGGACAGTTAATAAAGATATAGTACGATTATTGTTATACTCAATAGACACGAAAATTAAATTGGAGGCACAATGTGTTCTAAGTGACTGCCCCCCCCCCCTTACGCGGGTAGGATAAAATATGTTTACGTTGGTTTTACGTTTGTTGATTGAGATACGAGATTTTATATTTTTGGTGTATCATAAGAAAGAACTGTCAAACATTAGTTATTATTTATTATGAAATCAAAATGTGTTAAAAAATACAATGTATTCATTTTTTTTTTAAATGTGAATTTTTCGACTTCCGAGGTTTTTCTGAGTTTTAATTTGTTTAATAACATTGGTATGGTTGATTTTAAATATTGGTTATAGTGATGTTTTATAGTATTATATACATAAACGAGTATAATAATATGTAATTTACTTTATATAAACTGTTACGATTTGATTAGTGTATGATGCTGTATGGGTATAATATACGATATAGGTAGCCAAATAGCCGATAGTTAAGCCAATAATTATCAAAATTTTTACTCCTCTATTAAACGCCTGGCTCTCTGAAGCTCGCAAAACCAAATTATTTACAACTTGGAATGAATCACCTATATTTTATACACATTGCAGCGTTACACGTGTATTGTAGTATGTGCTATTCCCCTTCCTTTCGTGTTATTAAAACTACGTGCCCGGAATTATTTTACGTGTGTGGAATACATTAATTTACTGTAAGTCACAAATAAACTTTAAACTCCACAACCGGTAATCGTAAAGTCTACCGATAATAACGCTGATAACTTTTAAAATTTTGGTAGACAAACAAAAAATCGGAAAGGTATATAGACCTATTTATAATATACTAATTGAACACTTTTCAAACATGCATAATATTGTAGATAAAAATTAAGGTTATTTATTTTTAACCATAATTATAGTTTTAACTTTGGGGAATCGTTGACTTATCAAAATAAATTATAGTATAATCATCAACTGTAATAGTCTAACCTATAATGATATCAAATTATTTAATAAAAAATTCAAAATGAATACCTACGAGACTCCAAAACTTCTATATTGAAAATTTTAAGAACATAGTATATTTTGATCAAATGATGACATATACACTTTCAATATAAACGACATATTTGTGTTTTTTACGCATTAAAAAAAAAATATTTTACTAATTATTTATACAAACAAGAATTATAGGTTAGTTACATATTATAACGATACGAGTATTGCATTACGCGTTTATTTATCTTAAGTGGATAATAATTAAAAACTATAATATGTAGGAACTATAAGTTATATTTTTAGAAAATATTTTGTCAATCATGCCAACAGCCATAATGACGTATTTATGGTTCTACAATTACAATCTGAACTATAAAATATGAAAACCACATTTTTTGTACAACCTACATAATATTATTAAATATAATATTAATAATTATATTTTAATATTAATTTTTATTCACATATATTAAAACTTACCAAAATATATCCAAACATTTTAATAATAAACATAATAGTTTATGTTTAACAGTTTGTCTTACAAAGTGCGTTTGTTTGCCAGAGTAAAATAATGAGTATAATGCAAATCAAAATAATGACGAATTTAGGTATCGAACAGATAAAATCGAGAACGGCCGTGAAAATAAAACACATTTTATAATATTTTTATTCTACTCTATTAATTAAAATCCTAAAAAATACGTTCGACATCATACAGCCGAATGTTGACAAATTTAACGAATCAATAAGGTGATTTTAAATTATCGTGGATTCTATAGTTACAGCATGAATATTTTTTGTGTGACCTATTATTCCTCGGATTAATTTTTTTATTTTAAAACTTCCTTGAAAACTCTTTTTTTCTATTAAAATATAATACTCTACTTTGTCTATGTCGATTGTCGAATGATTATTTGGACATTTTATTCAACTACCAGATGCATTTTTAGTGAGTCTACGCTATAATTTTTGTGATTTGTATTCAATTTAAGTAAAGAGAACAATGTCTGTATGGAGATAACGATGAACACATAATATAAAAAGTAATTTTTTTTGAGGTTTTAACAATAATCATAGGTAATGCAAAAATATTTTTTTTACTGCATATTGTGACGTGTAATTTAGTATAATTTATTACTTAGTGTCTTGTACTTTTTTTTGTAACAGATTAAAAAAAGCTAGACCCCCTATTTTATTTTATTTTTATACCTACTGCAATATTTCTATTGAACTAATGCTTTGTGGATCTTGGCGGATCTCGGAACAATGAGCAAAACTCGTGGTATACACAGATGTGTACTAGGAAACCGTTTTCTCGCAGTATAACGTCGACTTCGCGTCAGATTCATCGGAAATTCATTCACAATACAATATATAACGCTTTGGGAAATAATGAAATAATCGTCAAGTCGATGCGCAGTGTCTTACCTTGTGTTCAGGGCTCTGCTGCGAGCCGCGCGATTGCGGTCTCGGAGACTGCAGCAGCGTCTCGCCGTTACTAAACCGCCCGTGCGTGGTCAACGATATCGGCTGTTCGGCGGGTGGGCTCATCGGCGGTTTCGTGTCGTCGTCGTCGTCGTCCCGGTTGTCGTCGAACTCTCCGTCTTCGTCGTCGTCGTCGTCTTCGGCCTCGCTCACCGACCCCTGCCCGCTGTAAGACTTGCCGCCGTGCTCGCTGGGACTACTGCTCTTGCAGTAACCGTTCACGTTGCCGTCGTTGGTCCCCGAGTTCATGTCTGTGACGCCTGCTGAGACACAATATAATAATACAGAATACTTTACCTCACTGTTTATGACATAATAATAATGAGCGTATTGCGGCATTGGCGGCCGGCCGAGTCTACATCATAGAAAACGATATTGTTAAATCGCATTATTTCACTCGGATTACGGTCGTTAATAATATTATATTATATATACCTAGGCGCCTACGCATTATACGTACCAGCTATTGTGATAATATATTATTATAGATTGAGGTAGGTATTATATAGCACGGTGGCGTAATTGTAGACACTCACCAACTCCCCCCGCCCACCGATAAGTCAAAAAGTCCATACTTTTTATTCATACAGGCCAGTGCGGTGTTTCGCATGAAGTACGTTGTGATGAGAAATCAATGATTGGTTTTACCCAGAATAGTCTAAGTCAAACTTCGTACCTGTAATTTATTATACCATGTGTTGTTGGAAAGTTTACAGAAATGTTGAAATTAACGCAGTTACTACATATTATTATGAATTCCAAGAATATTACCTATACCTATACAATATAGTTAATATTATAAACATGTATGTATACCATCATATTGTTTAGGACGACATGTCGTAAATTATATGTATTAAATCTAGTGTAAAATGTAATTGTCTAGTTAGGCGTATAGTATAAAATAAGGTTAGATTTTGGAGAAAAAATAGCCAAGAAATTTATATTTTATTCTTATTAAGAAGGCAATACTATTATACGAGTTGAATTTGAATGCGTGTCGCCGATTGTCGGGAGATAAGTATATAGAAATGAACAATATTTATATTCATTTAACCGTTTATAATAGGGTAAAAAATATAAATGTAATACCTACGTACGCACAACTATAATTATTATTAAAGCATTTAGGACTTTAGGAGTGTAGAAACGGCAATGAGAAAGGTGGGTTTCAAGGGTTAGAGCTTTTTGTAGAAAATAAATGATCAGCCCATCCAGAACAAATTTCTAATAACGCTACTGGTATATTGTATAATAGTAGGTTAGTATACTGACCTGCATTTGTGCCACGTACTTCAGCCCGTTTTTGAGCTGCCCTGGCATTTTTAAACCAATATACGACGTTGTTGACGTCTAACGCCTTACGACCTTTTCGCGATTCCAGATTGTTCAATTCACTCACGTAGTGGTGTATCTTTTGTTAAAACAATATCAACAATCAACAGTTAATATTAATTACGTCAAATCACCATAAGAATAATATCATTTACACATTATATTATGTTAAATATATTGTGATATAGTATATACACAAGATACGTACTTGTTGTCTACTTGGATGAGGATTTTCAGCGAACCAAGCTTGCAGTTTCGGGAGTTCAAGTTCTGTATCGAAGCTAGTACGCATACGCGTTTTTTGACCTTGGAATTGATTTTGAGAAACAGACTAAAAAATGAAAACATCAAATTTGTCAATACGGTTCAAGTAACACCTAATACATATTAGGTAAATATAATTAGTGTAACATAATAATTGTATTTAACTCTGATAGTGCACAACTACACGATTTGTCAAGTATGATAATACAAAATATAACGTGGATGATTCTTGTACATTTAATTTTAATAGGACTTATACATAAAATTAAAATAATTATCGTGTGAATTAAATCACCTGGAGACTGTGTGTCTTGGGGTCTGATTTAGGAACAATACAATTAGTGGGGTTGTCTTGTATGTTAGACTGCCTTGGCGACGAACCGTTACGATAGAACATATCTCTCACTGATTGCGGCAATACCGATGGCTGTATTTTGGGAACGACGTTTGACGATTGCATGATCCACCATTGCTCGAATTTTTTGTACAAATCTTCGGGCAAATCTGGGCAAGCTTGCCCCACCTTCATCATCTGCAATATTATCGCTTCGTCCAGGGGACATCCCGACGCCGTCAGCTGCGTTTGGCTTTGTACCAACAGCAGTTTCAACAGTTTGTCCTTCAAATCGGAGAATCGGTTCTTCGTTTCCCTGCAAAGGCAATTGGGTTAATAGTACAGATGATTATTACAAATTATAATGATTGGCAATCACATAGTAATATTTCATGATAATGGCAACAATATTCCGCTATGGTTGTGAAGACATACCTGAACACGAGTATTCTCAGAGTGGCTAAGGTAGTTAGTTCTCCGAGGACGTCATTCACCGTCAGCACAGGATCTTCGGCTATTGTGTCCAGGTCTAACGGTAACCAGTTTTTCAGCACTACCAACCCCTTCGACGCCGCTGCCGTGTCTTTGGAATAGCCCAGGCGTACCAATGCGGCTTCCGTCAAATCTCTAAACGCGGTATTGTTCGGGATGATAACGAATCTGTCCAATTCTACGTGGCCTTTAGAACGATGCAGTGACGGCGAGTGTTTTTGGCTCCATTGATAGACGTGATTGATCGATTCCACTATGCAGTGAACTGGTATAGATTTCGCTGAAAAAAAAAATGAAATTTACTTTTTTTTAACGAATGAAACACAAGGTAAAAAGACAATCAGTGACAGTATACGGCATAATTATATATTACTGTTCAGTGCACGATACGCGCCTATGCATATTATTATATTATATATGTATTAGGCGAAGACGTATTTATAATGTTAATATTAATCCACAGAGTTTAGTTTATAATTCTTCGACTAAGCCTTAAGCCAGTCGAATCTATATTCATTCTAATCTGAAAACGGGTTTCAGACACGGTTCTTAGGCCGGAGTTTTAAGGACGGATTAAAGTTTCATTCGAAATGCTTTGGAAACTATTGGTCTGCTTATTGTAATCTATCACTCGAGTTGCGATCTCGGGAACATCACTGATTTTCATAAAATTAATTTTTATTCAACGACAACTGTTAAACAATTTTATTGAGAGTTAATAATATAACTAATTGGTAATATTTACTGTTTATTGGATAATTTTTTTTGTTTTTCATTAAATATTTAGTAACTTGTTATTTTTTTTTTTAGACAGATTTATTAGATTAAATTGATTATTTTTAATACCTACATCGAGGTCAGCAAAAAATGATTTAAATGTATATGACATTTTTTTTTACAGATATTTCTCAACTTTATTATTGAAGTAACTGGTTTATTGAATATTTTTTATTTGAAGTTGACCCATTAACACTAGATACAAGCACGGTAGGCATTTTGTTTTGTTTTTTTTGCTAGTAATTTTTCCAATTAGCAATATTTTAATAAAATATACCTATATAGTTTTTAAAATTTAATATTGATTTAACTCAAATAATAAAATGAAAAAAATAAAAATAGTATATTAAAATAGATCGCAACAAACACAATCTTCGGAATTGCACCATATAATATTATGCCGTTGCTTTTGCACTTAAAGTTCAGATACAGTATTGTAGGGAGTACGTCAAGTAGAAAATCGAATGGTCGCCCTATTATAATAAGGGTTCAAGTATGCACGATAAGTTACTTAGATATTTATAATATCATTATACTAAATATATAAACCTATTCACCGGCTAACATAACATTATTTTCATCTTCGATGACAACATGCTGAATGCACTGTAGTTGGTCGTGTACACACAACCATCACTACGAGTTGAAGATTAAAAAAAAATATAACAACAATAAATATAAAGCAGAAACCATCCAGCGTTTCCTAGAGAGATAGCGTTTCATCTCGACACATCCGGCGTCTATAAAGCACCTACGTCTGTGGAGCGCCTCCCCCGGATTTTCCGCTAAAACGGAGATGACACTTTGGAAAAACTTTTCAAAACCACAAAAGTTGACAGCCCGATAAACAATGCGGTGCAGGTGGCGGGGGTCTCTGTGGCAGTATTATATTATATAATATACCTATCGTACGTGTCTATCTGACTGGTTGGCGCGGTGTTTATAATAATAATAATATGATATTGTACATTACGCGGAGGTGTAAAGCGTTTTCCATTATTAGCCGGTTTGCTCTCACCACCACCGACGACGGTGTCGACGACGACGACGACAATAATATAATAATAATAAGCTCTTATCGGAAGAAACTGCAGCAGAGCGCTGCGCGTTTGTATACGTGCTGTACACAAATAACCGGATCGGTGGCGACGCACGGGCAGCATCTCTCTCTCCACCCTTTTGTGGTGGTGCAAACGGAAATGAAAAACAGAACCGACCGGGTCCGACGAGACGGGAGACACGGAGTGGCACGCGGTTGCCGTGAGGACAGAGAAAGAGCCTGGGGGGGGGGGGCAAAAAATAATAATATAATAACGCTATCCAAATGAAAGTGTGCGAGGGGAGCGGAAAAAACCTCGTTATCTGTTTTTAAGAAGAAATTTTTACCAGATTTAATAATATAATACTGTCGCGTGGCTTTGCCGTGTGAAAAACGTTATCTCTCGAACGCGAAATATTGATTTGTTGAACGAAACGAATGCAGTGGTTCTTTATGGTTGGTGAAAAAAAAAAACAATAATAAACGAGGTATGCTGCGCACCGTGTGTTCGGTTTTCGCCAGTTCGGAATATAATATTATTATATTGTGTTAAATGCCACGAAGATTTGATACCGGAAACGCGCGAATCCGGAGTGTAATGTGGAATATACAAATGTCGTCAGGGGTGGTTGTTGTTGTTGTCGTCGTAGTTGGTTATTTTTTCGAAGGGGATGCCATTCGGTACAGCGGGTTGTTTTTAGTAAAACACAATCAGTTCTTATTGTTGTTAAGATATTACATATATTATTTTTTCTCACAGCATAGATCGATACACTCTTTGAGTTGGTTAATATTATATTATTATTTTCATCTCGCGAGCATGTAACGCGTGTGTCGCAGTTATAGGTATAGTACTACGATAGTATGATGAGTAGGTAATGTACATGACTGCAGTAGATTTTTTATTATGTCGAAAGGCATCGATATATCGAATCGTCTGTTATCTTGAATCAAATTGAAATCCCCATTGAATTATCGTGTAGCAATACAAATCGGTATCTGCCATTTTTTTTTTATTCCTCTTAACGCATAACGAGAGTTTACTGTAATATTCTATATTATCGCTATCAAAAAATAAAAATATTTACATTATACCTTCTTTGAATACTTAAAGTTTCACTATACGTGCCTAATTTACGTACTATACCTATGTTGTGTAAAAAATAGACACATTATTATTATATGTATTTAAAACAAATGATTTCTCAGCCTATATTATTTTTTGATTTCAAAAACTGCTCGAGTTGAGAATATTAAGCTTTTAATTTTTATAATTACACACTATTTCGATCATTGATGCAGAAGTAATGTTTATATCATTTTATGATTTTAGAGTTAGGTTGTATAAAAAAGTTACCACACGGGACACCGTGACATTTTACTGTATTTGTATGCAATTTTAAATAAAAATTATTTCTTTTTTACATATTTCATAATAATTTACTATACGCAATGACATTTTAAAAATATTTAGATTTAATTTTAAGTTATTGCTTATTTATATCGTATTCCTAATAGTAAAATAAATAAAAATATAATAACAATACAATATACTTATAAGTTAATAATAATATATATATACGTAGGCTAACAGACTGTTTCTGCTCAGAATCGTTTTTTACATCCAATTCAAATGAATGATTCATCATTGATTTCAAATTTAACACATCACTAATAGTGCCCAACTCGATTACGAGGTACACTCGACACGTCTTACAAGTGCACAACAGAACGATTACTCTTACTTGCCTACTTTTTTTAATTTATACTTAGAAATTTTAAAACAATTAATAATGTACATTATCTTTGATAAAGAATCGCATAATAATGAGCGGTATCTTTAATATATAATTATTAAAGTGTTGAAATTGTAACTATTATTAATACAATATAAAAATTCAAAAATAACTGTTTTTGATTTACACCTGTCTAAAATTGTTTGATTTAGGTACTTATATTACTAAAACGTGGCAGTAAATTGCATGTTTTGTATTTCTCAACATCTACGCAATATTCAAATACAATATTAAAGTTGATGTTTATTGTGACATTTAAAATAATAATTCGTTTTAATTCGTTACAATGCGCATTCAATTTATTGCAGATTATCTATAGAAATATAACAGGATGTCTGAAAAAGTCAATTATAATATTATTCATCGACACTGACGAAATAAAATCTTAAATATTTAAAAATTAAATGATGTAACAATATCATATTCACGATATGATTAATTTGCAGGTGTATATTATTTATATTATAATAAAGTACGACAAAATCAAACTTTAACTCTAATATGATAGGTTAGATTTAAAAACAATGTCTGAACTCGAAAAAAAAACTTTGTTTGTCTAGGTAGGTTAATATTTTCAACAAATGTGCATAATTTCTACAGTAAATTGAGCAAAACGAATGAATTATATGAACGGAATTTCGAGCAAAATATTTAAATCAATGCTGAATATCGTTTTAAAATAATTATATTTACTTACTAGAGTAGACATTCTAAAAAAATGAATTAAAGATCTAATCTTGCATAAGTACTATGTACAATATTCATATTATATCGATGTTCTAAATCTTCTTATTCAAATTAAGATAAATCGGATAAAAACGTACTTTTTGTATTGATTGTTTCGGAATAATGGACGTTTGATCACAGATAAGTATAATATATATATGATCAATGTTATTGAAAATAATTGTTATCAATAGTCTTATGGAACAACATAAAGTTGGGTAAGCTTAAATCTGAACTGATGTAATTCAAGATTATATTGAATCGGATTGGACACAGACATATGTGTACACAAAATGCTATCGTCGTAATAATATTTTAGTATGAAATAATCCCAATTCGATCATTACTCGTTTTGATAAATAGAAAAACCTTTCCAGAGAATAATCTGTAGGAATATAGGTAACTACTAACTTTGTTTTTAAACGAATATAGAAACGACGATATATTATTATGATATTATACTTAGCGAAAAAATAAAATAAAATACACATCGCATTGTACCTACTGTCGATTCGCGTAGGTTGCAGGTACCTATATAATACATATACCATATTATATATGTGTATTTAATACACGCTGTATACTTTGTTCGAGATTGATTTTAAAGCACTGTGCATAAGCCGATCATCGGCGTTAAATCGTATTTATGGTTACCTGAACTCAGAAAACATAGACGATGTTGTGTATAGTTATTCAGGAAAACTGGCAGGAAGACACGTGAAAAGCGCTGCAGAAAAGAGAAAGGAAACGGCTGGTAGGCGGGACTGGTGTCGGACGACGGTGAAGGGAAAGGCACGGAGAGGTTAGAGGCATCTTGAAATTATGCGATGAGATGGGTTCTTATTAAAACGTATACACCGGGGCGGGATGAAGCGGAGAGGGACCGGTTAAAGCGGCTACAAAGGGCTTAACTGGGGCCCGTTTACAGGAACGAGGTAAGAG